TTAGTGTCATCCCATTATATGTATACAGCAGGGGATCACGCTGGTAACGTTCTTCAGAGTTGTCTCACGTTGGCTGCGGGGATGGGTGCTTCATCCTCGAAGGATAAAACAAAGAAGAATGGAGATTTGAAGCTTGGGAACTTGCCTTTGAAACTCTGGGTTGGGGAACGGTATCTTGGTGAGTGAACCTCTGTTTCGGCGCAGGTTTGATCATCCTGTGTGGTTACGCATGCTGGTCTTTTTTTGCTCATGCCAACTTTTGATAGAACTCTATAAGAGGAGCCGTCACGAAGATCTCGTGCGAAGACAGGCTATTCTTAATGCTCAAGTAGCTGAGGCGGTCAAGGCTCTGTATGAACGCGGGGCTTCGAGTCTTAGCAACGGTATCGCCGCGACATGACATTGACGTTGTACGGCTGAGAGTATTTGCTTTTCTTCTTGGACTTTGGAGGTTTGAATTGTTGTCGAATTTTGCTATCGCAGTGCTGTCACATGTTTTGTATGTGTGAGTATATCATATGTTTGTTTTGTGTGGATCTCTGATCATCATTGGCTGGACAGATTTATCCATTATTTGTTGTTGCATCAAGTTCCTTGTGGGTAGTTCCCATTGTCAATGCATACTCGATTCTACTCGGAGCCTCTCTTGGTGGTGAACTTTTGGAGTATTGGCGGACGTAGTAGGGAACGTGCGAGTCCTTATTCCACCCGACGTCGACAGTAGGAGAGCAGAGAGAGGTGGATGTGTGTTTTTCCGAGAAAACTGCTTCAGAATAGTTGGCCACATATGGTTTAGGCCGGTATGATATGCAAGCGCTTAAGCGAGGCAAGACAAGAGGGAAGAGGATCTGAGAGGTTCGCTGTGTGCATCCTCTCCCTCGACGGCGACCATTGATTTTCCCTCCTTTTCATTTGTACTCTTTTTACGATTCTGTAACTGTGACTTTGTATATTTATTGCATGTAACATGCAGCGAGTCTGGTCTGTCTACCTCGCGTCTGATTCGAGCCATGGCCATAATCAAGGCGTTCCTGCCCAACCGGTGCGTGTGTGAAACTTTCTGCCTGTTACGATCCCCTCTTACGTCCCATCGCGACTGCCGCCCGACCTCCTCTTTCTCTTCCTCCTCTCCTCTCGAATCCATTACTTTCTCCTTTGCCTCTCTGAATGAACTAATCGGCGTTAGATGGACGCTGGATCACCCACGTATGTTTGTTTTTTTGTCGACTTTACCGCATATTTGGTTATCGTTACGCTGACATCTCTTCACCGCCTTTTTCTTTTCACATTCTCCGTATGCTTGGGATTCTCTTGTCGGCCTGACTTCTTTCATCAACTCTTCGCATTCCCGACCAAAACGACTTCCTCCTCAACGTTCAACATATCTTACAAATACGGATCCGAATAACAGCCACTCAAGAACGTCCTCGGTCTACTCGCACGGAGCGTCCATAGCATCTCACGCCGCATCCACTCGGTACATGCTCGCTGACATGGCTACCCCCCTCGAACCACCTAGCGCTCCTTTCGCCTCTCGCTCAGGCTCATTCCGCTCTTTATCCCCCAAAACAGATACCCCTCTAATGTCTTCCGACAAACATCTCTCGACTTCTCTCAGTATCAACTATCTACCTTCGAAGTTCTCAAACTCAATCACCAAACGTAGAGGTGGCAAGGATGTTGATTACATGATGCCTAAACAAGGTGGTGGGAGAGAGGCTTTCAGAAGCAATGAAGCTCGTATGCCCGGTGAAGGTGACGATGATTATGATGGTGTTAGCAGTGGTTGGTTTGGTGGCAAGGAAGGAAAGACTAGACCTAGGTTGAGGTGGAACAGGTTCAAATGGATTCTCTTCTGCACCAACTTGCTTGTGAGTTAACCCTCGTCGCTGCTCTCGCTGTCCTCGTTATGCTGCGGTCTCATCTAACCGGTTGTTCTCTTTTCGGTAATTCCCGACCCCGCCAACACAGCTCACCTTGTACTCTCTCGCTGGATTAATCGCTTGCCTTTTAATCTGGTTCAACGTTTGGAACCATGCGGACATTGTTCGCGTCGGAAACAAAACCGAGCTCATCATCTCTACCACCGCAGCTTCTCTCGGAGTCTTCACATCCCTTATTGGCTGGTCCGGTATCCTCTTGAACAATCGAGCATTCCTTGCTTGGTATTGTTTATTCACTTGGTTCACTTTCGCGCTTTTGGTCACTCCAGGTTACATCACCTACAAGAAACGCACCTTCAACCTGGAAGGAAAGATCAACGCTCAATGGTCTAGAGATCTCGGTATCTCTGGTCGTTTGAGAGTGCAGAATCAACTTCACTGCTGTGGTTACTTTAATCCTTTCGTCGAAGCCGCTGCTAGTCAGACTTGTTACGCTAGAAGCAATCTTCCTGGATGTAAAGGCCCATACCTCAAGTTTGAGAGAAACGTGTTGGAGAGATGGTATACGGTCGTCTTCTCGCTGGTTCCCGCTCAACTTGCCGTCATGGTTGCCGGCTTGCTTTGCTCCAACCATGTCACGTACAGGTTCGGTAAAGGAATGATGCCAAAGGCCTACCGACTGAACATGAACAGTATGGCGGTTATCATGGACAATTATGCGAAGTATGTTACTGGATCCATGTCGTTTGCGATATAATACTGATGTTCTGCCTTGTTCAGCCAACTCGCCGAACAATATGGAAGCGACGTCGCATCTGAAATCATCGCTCGTTCCAGATCCAACCTGCACCTTGACAGCATGCCTTCAATGCCATACAACAGCAATCCCAGCTCTCCTATGGTGAACAAGTATGAGATCTCGAACAGAGATTAAAGAACATGCGTGATCTTTCGTGTTGATGAGGTATGTTCCTGTAACACGTCATTAACCTTTGTCGTTGACTGATGTTTCTGTCTTAGTTTTCTCATCGGACTCTTGCAATTGGTGGCAGGACGGACAGTTCGTAACATAGGCCCAAGTCCATCACGTATTTTCATACTCTATATTCACGTCGATCTTCTCCCTTCTTCACTCGTTCCTTGCCGCAACCATCAAAGAAACCTACCCATCCTTACCCCAACCTCATCGTTATATCTATATCCTGTTTGGACGCTAGTGACAATGAACTCAGGACATACAGTAATTTTCGGATCGTCAGCATTTGTAGTCGCTGTAGCATTTTGAATGACTACACTGTTAGGACGAGCATTGTTTTTCACTAACTTTACGGTTTACCATTGGGCGTTTGAGTATTCAGAGAGTACTGGCTGAGTTTAGATTTTTCACATTCCGCTTTGAACTAATCAGTACGCGTTATTATTTGAACGTTGAACGAACACTTCAACCATCCCCTCAAATCATAGAAATGGTCAGTATATGCTGCTGTATTGTTTTGCCTACTAAACCATTTCTGTAGAACAACGTACACGAGGGGTGGACATTACTGCGAGACAAGTATAATCACGAAAGAAGCAAAAGAGCCAAAAAATGGGTCTCCCGGTGTACAGTAATTGAGAATATCTGCGTGGTTCGTACAGATGCGTTCTTTCCATGTTTTGGTGGTATTTCCAGATCAACTTATCTCTCAAAACGCGTCGGGGGATGACTTGGAATGGCGCATCTAATCTTTGATATTTTCCCACATTATGTGTTGAGTACTAAAGTCCTGGTTGGTCCTTCTCTAGGTTTTCATCGCGCTATCTTTTGCGATGCTCATCTACGTGTACCAGCTGGGCAAAGTGACCAATTCAGCGTATCCAAACGGGCTTCTTGAACGTATCCGTGTGGAATACCAACTTTCCCCGCTACGCGAATCCATTTTCTTCAAGCTCTGTGCATGCACCATCACCACCTCCGTCACCCTCATCTTGTGCAATCGATATCTCCGATGGCTCAGAGATCCTGACCACTTATATCCTGCTGCTGATCTGGACGTGCCATATCCGCTCATTCAAAATCAACTGTTTGGCTTACAACACCAACGAAACAACTCCTATCATTCCTTATATCAACACATCTTCTCTCGAATTTTGATGCTTGTAGCGACAACGTTCTGGCTATCTTCCCTCAGCCTCTTTGCACGCCTGTTACAGCGACGTATTCTGCGCTTTCTGGCGATAGTGTTCCTGATATTCATCGTACCGGTCATGCTTTTAACCCTCTGCGTATTCGTCATTGGAGTCCTTTCATCTATGAAGACCCTGAAAGCGTACCTTTCTGAACCCGGCTTTGAAAACCCAAGTCGATCTGAATTACTCATGCAGATTCTGGTTGAAAACGGCGCTTCGCAATCGGGAGATGGAGCGGTCATATTTGACTCCAATGTCCGCGACTGTTTCCTCGGTCTGAACTTTCCAACGACTGCTTTCTGTGTTCATACAATTCTCCGTGAAGATTATCAATCTCGTCATCCCGACAATCCAAATGCAACAATGAAAACAATCCTTCATAAGTTATCCGTCAAGTCTCGGGAAAACGTGGCCATTATCCTGCTAAGTTCAATCTCTTGGGACGCCTCTCGGACTCAAGGCTTTGAAGAGTGGAAATGGGAACTGCTGCAGGATTGTTTGAATGGGTTGTTTATTATCAGGACTATCCAAGACATCTACCCTTCAGTTCCTTCCCTTAATAGGATGGTTCTCGCTGTGCTTCCCGCAGTTATGAAAACGAAGCAGTACGTTTTGTTACCATGTGTTTCCGAAATTCGGATGATTTTGCTGAAGGCTGGTTATCGCCGCCGTCGTCATCCGAAGTGAGTTCTACTTTCTCGCCATCCATTCAATTCTTAATGTTTAACGTTTAACATTCATGCTGATTTATGTATACCTATTTATTTGCTCCAGTATATGATCATTCTCAACTAGATCACATCTCACCTTTCTTCCAACGTGCATCAAGAATTTGTTGAATCAAGGTGTATTGTTGCAATTGCTGTATCTTGCGCTCTACTGATATGATACCTTTCTGTTCCATTCTATAGGGTATATTCCGATCTGGTATGATCTGTCCAGAGGAGTGGCCCAATGGTCTAGGGGTAAGATACTTGCTTTGGGTGCAAGGGATCCTGGGTTCAAATCCCAGTTGGGCCCATTACTTTTTCATCTTGGAGCGATAATTCTCGATAAATATCTCAATTGCAACTCGGTCTTACGAGTGGCCTGCTGCTTCTAAATCTCTCAAAAACATTTCTGTGTCTAGCGAGCAACTAAAATATTTGACATCCTGCAACTATGGCGAGCGCCCGCGGCGGCCTGACCCCTCTTGCCCCCAATATCTAGTAATCAACATTGACTTCATACCCCTTTCTCCATGCTCGTCGATGAAATCTACGCAGACGAGCTCGGCCAGGAGGGCTTTGGGCACCCCTTGTGGTTGCCTACACCATATTACTACCGTCGCGGTATTCAAGTTGGCGATGTTGGTGTCATTGTCGACGGCCAGTTTCGTTATATCTACAACGTGTCTACACGAGTCATAAACCCTCCTCCTTCCACTTCCTCCTTCTCCATCTACGATTTCCAAGCGTGTGGCCTACCTCTGACTTATCCGAAATTGAATATCGACGATTCTGAGCGCATAGAAGTGGAAGACTTCGTGCCTCGCATCACTCACTCAAAGTCTGTGAAAGTGGAGTCAGTCAATTCTAAGGTAACCCACCAGGCTTTATCTCTCTATTCGACTGATCAAGTGTTTGTGAGCTCAGAATGAAGTTACCTTCTCTTGTTCCACCGGCAGGGGCGCTATCCTATACACTGCGAAACCCGGTAAATTCGCTGGTGTACGTCCAAGTCTTAAGCTCCGAAACCATGTTCGTGACAACCATATGATATGGTCTGACTTCGTACGAAAGTCTCCATCACTATGTCTTAAATCCAAGCCCGAGGACGTGCTTCTGGTGAGAGGATTCACGACGACGACAGAGTTCATAGCTGGTGTTGTGGCTCCCAAATCTCAGGAGAGAGTCCTCGACGGCAGCTGGGGTAATCCTGGAATGAATGTTATCCCCGACGGGCTGAAGTTCTTGAAGCAGGAGAACCAGGTGGTCAGGTTCCGAATTCATTATATAGGAATTTCACCATCGAGCTTTTTCGGGAATCACGATATCTACGACCAGGAAAATTGCAATGGGGAGAGACATATTGAAGCTGAGACAGACGACGAGGGGGAATTTAAATCCTTCCCTCGGGGGCCTATGTATATCTTCATCAACTACTACCAGGTACGATATCGCTGCTACGTCCCCACGATATTCGCCAATGCAGAGCCGAAGGATCCTTCTTTACCCCCGCATGACGGGGACAATGCAGGCGAGTTGAAATTTCAAGTTAGTGAGATTGTCTCTCTGCCTTTTCAAAAGTTGATCTCTTTTTGTACAGACCTGGAAGCCTTTGGACGAGTTGTTGAACCATCTACTCCGGGTACGCTTGAGTATATCCACTTGACATTACCAACAGACTCATCTTTAGCCGTCAGAAATCAACCGCAGATATGGCTATTGCTTGCGATGACGATGTTTTCACCATATGCAAGGTCCGTTCTTCCTAGTACTATCGTGGGCATTCAGTAATTCTGTCCCCTCTAGGGTCCACCATGGCCGAAAGACTTTCAGGAGTTCTACGAGCGTGTTTCTCCAAGGATATATGTCGACGACCATAATGGTATGTAATGGGGTCTAGCCTGCGGAGATGATAACTTGGACAATGCTCATTGTTCTCAGTTGTTTCACTATACCGGGAGGAATACCTTCCCGATGGTCATCAAGAACGAACGGCTGCAACCACACCTCTCGTCGAATCTGCTTTCATAAAGACCACTTTCAACCTGGATGTTACAACGATTTCCGCTCTCAGAGAGTTGTTGTTAGCAAACACTCATCTATCTTCCACGTCTCAACGATTATCGGCACACAAAAAATCAATCCTATCTCTCTGTTGCTTCCCTTCACATTCTCTTTGATACAATGCATCGCCCTCAGGATTCACTCACCAAAGACACAGAACTGGTTGGTATCTCGACGCGGGAGGAAGAGTATATTCTTGCATCCTCGGTTGTATCATAAAGTTATTCAATTTGGCAGTCGACATGAATCCCAAGATAGGTGTGTTCTTGGGGGTACTGTCAATGGTATATATGTATCAGTATTGCTTAAAAGCTTCCTGTATCAATAGTTTCTTCACTATGTACTTACTAATTTACACGTACATACTAAGTATGTCCTCAATTTATACAATTTTACCATTTCTTGAGTCTCGCATAATTATCGATATTGTAACGAAAGAAACATTTTCCCGTACCCCACATGATGTATGCGGGGTAAGCGAACTGTGAAATTCACCGGTCTTCGCGTTTATACACTCACCATGACCCGGCCGTTCGACCTTTGTCGTTGATATAAAGAGTTTGGGCACTCTCGAAGGCTTTAGACACTCACAACCTTGAAGACGAACTGCATTATACCATTTTTGCGATCATGCATTCGATCCCTGCTCGTCGTACAGCGGCAGCTCGAACGCGAGCATTGGCTTCACCTCGATTCGCGACATCCATCTCTAAAGTCGGATCAAGGAACATCTACTCTGCTACTGCTGTTTTCTCTCAAGCAACTCAGCGGAACACCACGCGTAGCTCGAATCAATATCTAGCTGTTGAGTGGTCTTCGGGCAAGAGGAAGTTTGCTACAGTTTCGAGTGAGTCCGTTATGTTTACTGTAGGGTTATACAGGTTGTGTAAATGACAATTCCAACTTTACAGATAATGTTGTTCACAACGATGACAGGAAACCTCATTTTGACAAGATCCTGATTGCAAATCGGTATGTCTGCATCGTCTCTATGTTGTCCTTCCAGCATAGACTGTTCTCGACAGGGGGGAAATAGCGTGTCGGGTGATTCGAACTGCGAAGAAACTTGGTATTAAGACTGTTGCAGTGTATAGTGAGGTCGATGGAAACTCGTTGCATGTCCAGTTGGTACGTTCCCCCCCTGCATTCAGCCATGCAACTCATGAACTCCTCTTAGGCGGACGAAGCGTATTGTATAGGACCTGCTCCTTCCGCAGAGAGTTATGTATGTATCCAACTACTTTCACTATCTTTCCAACTAACCCAATCATGAAAAGTTGAGGATGGATAAGATCATCGAAGTTTGCAAGAGAAGTGGTGCTCAGGTGGGTTTCAGTTCCTTACAATGAAGACCTAACTAAACTTTCGTCAATAGGCTGTTCATCCAGGCTATGGTTTCTTGTCCGAGAATGCAAAGTTCGCGGAACGGTTGGCGCAGGAGGGGTTGGTCTTCATCGGGCCTCCTGCCAGTGCCATCGTGAGTATGGGTTCTAAGAGGTATGTTCACGAGGTTGGCGACCTTGCTGTGACGTACTGATGTGACCTCTCAGTGAATCGAAACTTATTATGTCAGGTAATATCTGCTTCCAGCGTCATGCGTACGCTGGCTGATTCGCTCTATGACCAGATGCTGGTGTTCCCGTTGTACCAGGATACCACGGCTCAAACCAAGATCCTGACTTTCTATTGAATGAAGCCAAGCGTATCAGTAAGTCCTGTTTGATCAACACAAGATATGCGTTGACATGTATCGTTCGATAGAGTTCCCCGTGCTCATCAAAGCCGTCCATGGCGGAGGAGGCAAAGGAATGCGTGTTGTTCATTCCTCCTCAGATTTTCACGAAGCCCTCACATCCGCTCAGCGTGAAGCGCTCAAGTCGTTCGGGAATGCAGATGTTTTGGTCGAAAAATATATAATTCGGCCAAGACATGTCGAAGTTCAAGTTTTCGCGGATACCCAAGGGAATTGTGTCAGTCTTTGGGAGAGAGACTGTTCAGTTCAAAGAAGGAATCAGAAGATTATCGAAGAAGCTCCTGCCCCTGGATTGAGCAAGGAGATGAGAGCAGAGTTGAGTAAGAAAGCTGTTGATGCTGCATTGGCAGTTAAATATGTCGGTGCGGGCACTGTGGAGTTTATTTTTGACAACGACACAGAACAGTTTTATTTCATGGAGATGTGAGTGCTGAATCACGTTCTTGTTTTAATGCCATGCTGAACCATCGATTATTGTAGGAATACGAGATTGCAAGTGGAGCACCCTGTGACAGAAATGATCACTGGTCTTGACTTGGTTGAATGGCAACTCGAGGTTTGTTTCGATAATGGAATTGTTGCTCTCGATTGTGCTCAGTTCTACACCCTAGGTTGCAGCAGGGAATCCTCTTCCACTCTCCCAATCAGCTATTCCTCTTGTAGGTCATGCATTCGAAGCACGTATCTACGCCGAGAACCCAAGAAATGACTTCCTCCCTGACTCGGGCCCTCTTCTTTACCTATCAACCCCCATACCCACCCATACATTTGCACCCTCTCTTCCTACTCCAACCGAGTCATCAATTTCCCCTTCACCAGACGCAGCGCTCGAACGCTCAGTTGATACATCTGCTAAGATAGAACCTTCTCTCCGTCTTGAGCAAGGATTCGGTCAAGGTTCACAAATCGGGGTCTTCTATGATCCCATGATCGCGAAGCTCGTGGTTCATGGAAGAGATAGGACCGAGGCTTTGAGGATGTTAAGAAGAGGGCTGGAAGAGTATAAAGTTGTTGGTGTTTCTACAAATGTGGAGTTTTTGCGGAGTTTGGCTGGGAATGAATCGTTCATTGAGGGAGATGTTGAAACTGGTTTCATCCCTGTAAGTTTTTTTCTAATTATAATCAGGCATGCTGCTGATTATTGGTGCTGGCTGCTATTCTTCAGAGACATCATAAAGATCTTTTCCCTCCTATCTCTGCACCTTCACCTGAACTGCTAGCTCAAGCCGCTTTGTATGTTGTTCTACGAGATCAACCTAAACCTGCTAAGTTGACACCATGGACAACTCTGCCATCTCGTCGTTTCGGGGGAGACGTCTACGGTCGTCTTATCACCCTTCAAACTGAAGATTCCTCCATTGTGCCTGTTTCCGTTCATGTCCGGTCACTTTCATCAGGATTCTTCGATATCACAGTGGAAACACCCTCTGGTCATCATGAATTCAAATCAGTACCTGCAAACTTATCCACGCCTACGACGATATCTACAACACTCA